GTTATTTTTAAAGATAATTTTCTGACCTTCAATATTTTTGTTAATCATTACAATGACATATCACTATGCTATTTTTCATTTTTCCGTAATTTCAGACGAATATATTTATCCATTGCACCCTATATATATATATATATATATATATATATATATATATATATATATATATATATATTAAAGACATTTTTATGTTTAACGTTCTTTTTTATAGATACAAGTATTTAAGTAAATGCTCTGTTTATAATAAACAGTATTAAATAACATTTACCGGCCTGAATGTCCAAGAAATTTTTTATAGAAAATATTCGTCCTTTGACAGGATTCGAACCTTCATCCTATACAGAACCGTCATTTACGCTGACGTGCCTTAATGTTCGGCCACAAAAATGCGTACTCGTTCGGTTGGCAAGGTCGAATTTACTGCTTATAAACTTCAATCTTCCATGAATCTCGTACATTCATAACTGCTCATAGCGTATCAAATGTAAACAAATGACGTCATATATTAAGAAATGGACAAAATCCGACAATTTATTTATTAAAGACATTTTTATGTTTAACAATAAATTAGTTTTTTTAATTTGTTTATTATAAACAAACAGAGCATTTTTTTAAATACATGTATCTATAAAAAGAACGTTAAACATAAAAATGTCTATAATATCAATTGTCGGACTTTGTCCCCGATAATATATATATATATATATATATATATATATATATATATAAATTTAAAATATTTTCTGTAGTTACTGCTACCAGCAAGCAATGAAATATTTCTTCTCTCGATGATGGCCATTTTTGCCGAAACTAGTCGAGGAATCTAAATGAAATAATAATAAAACAAACGAAAGAATATTAATCTACAACCCAGTGTGTCTGAAGATTTTAATTTTTTAATATTTTTTTATTGTTCAATATATATATATATATATATATATATATATATATATATATATATATTTATGTGTGCGTGTGTGTATATGTAATTGTGCGTGTTGATGATATATTTTCAGCAATTTGTCCAAATGAACAAATATCAACAAACTTTTCCGGGAAGATAATTTTTCAGCACCTCCTAGAATGACGAATTAGATACCTACTTAAATGTCACCTTTGGATAATTACATATATAATTACATTTCGATTTCTTCCTTCCTCTATTTTTTTTTTTTCTCCAAAGTTTCAGTCTCAGCCTGGCGATTTTTTTTTTTTTTGTCATTAATTCGCTTTTCAAAGTCACCGTGTCGCTCATCTCCCGAGGCGTCTCGCAACACCAACACGTCATTAAGCTAAATGCCAAAATGGCAATATTTTTTTTGCAGCTGATATGGCAAAAAGTAGAATTAACAACGTCCTGATTCCGGACTTCATCTTAGAAGGAAGAAAACTGATCAAGAATGCCGTGGAGGGTTACTCTTATTGTTTGATATTTTAAGAAAATTACAACAGTTTAGACTGCGGTCTGTTAGGGTTCATCATCATCGTCATCACTATCATCATCTTGTCTCATCACCGAAATAAATTGTTTCGTAAAACGTTCGAATTGTACGGCTGAATTACATGACCAACTCCCTCTATATGTCTCAGTTACATGCGATGACCTTCCATTTCTCTCGGTGACGTTGTCTGGCCATTTTACCTCTGCCTGCCGCTTCCTTGGCCTATACTGATACCTTTTATCAGTAACTCCCAAACTTTTTTTTCTCTGGGTCGCATTTCGGATTTTTATTTATTTTTTTAATTTTTATTCCTACATTAAACTTTATTATCACATGTCAGAAAAGAATTTGCTTTTTCATATCATTAAAATAGAAATGTTCAAATGTAACACGATTCATTGCATAAAATAATATTAATATTTACCGTATTTTCCGCGACTTAAAGACGTACATTTTCCTGAAAAATACGTATCTTCCAAGACAAATGTAAAAAAGACATTATGCCTCAAGTAATCTTGGACGGTCACCTAATTCGTATTGACCGATAAACGTGGATTTGTATGTTGAGTAAGTTATAATTTTAATTATATATATATATATATATATATATATATATATATATATAATTCAGCCTTTTTATGATTAACCTCACTACTTACTTGTTACAAGTATTTCCAAGACGATAAACCTTCCAGGAGCCGAGCCTGTTCCCAAACATGCTCTGTTTACTAGCAGCGGCGGATGTTTTCTGAAACTGTTTTCATATGTCCCTGCCATACAAACTAAATCGACCGAGTAATTAATGTAAACAATACATGGCGCCAGTATGTGAGGGAAGTGTGGTGAATGTGTTTTTGTATGAGAATGTCTTTTTCTCTCAGAAATTTCTTTCCAATATTATGGTGCGTCTTCCAAGCCGCAAATTTCTTGTTTTTCTGACTGAAAATACGATAAGTAATATTCTTGTATTTTTAATCAATTCACCATAGGTAAGTCGATAATGCCACAGAGACGCAAGGGAGTGAAAAAGAATGAGGAAACTTAAGAAGGGCCCGCAAAACCCAACTTTAAATAGAAAACAAGAGATAAACCGTTCAAAAAAATAGATGTGTGAACCGGGCGATAGGCAAACCTTTTGTATTACATATATTTTCTGAAAAAGTCATGTCAGATTTTTATCCACAAAATTAAACCACACTATTTACATTATTCTGACTATTGTCCTCATCTTTGTCGCCATATTTGTTATAAAGTTTCAGCCTTTGTACACTCCGGCCTTCTTCAGGTGGTTGGAATGTCAAACTGAACCCTTTATTTCGCTCACTGGGGTAGACTGTTCTAGTTCCACGTGACATGTCTAATGGATGTCAGTTATCTCCCGTTAATTCCCCTCTTCAAGTTCTCCACCGCCTTAACAGGTATTGAACTCACACACCTGTCACCGCATCTAACCAATGCCTTTATCCACTGTGTCATGTGTCCTCTGTGTATGAATTTCTGGGTATTATAAACCTAATGTCTCCAGCAAACATTAGTTCTCATATTGCAATTTTTGCTGTTATCATTATGTTTTTACCAGAGCTCATATGGCAATTTTTTTGTTATTATCGCTTTTCCCACATTGTATCCATTTCTATGCTTGGTCGACTCAATGGTGTTCTTTGTCTATGATCTCAACCTGATTCCACAGAGGGCTGTGATCTCCGTTTTCTCTCCATATGTGGTCAGCCACGCCTGATTTTTCCACTTCCATTAAACCTATTTTCGATTTAAAAAAAAAAAAAGAATACTGATTTTTAAATTATTAAATGTAAAAATATCAAAACACGTCCCGTCAAAAGATGACAGCCATATTTAAGTAATTATGCAAATGCATTATTTATTTTTTCTGCAGGAGAGATTTACCTTTAATTTTATCTGTCCAATAAATATTATGTATGAAGGAATTCAAAGGATTTTAAAGGGATTTAAATGTAAAATTTACAAAAGGAAGCCAGAAATAACCTTCATAAAATAAGTGAAATATTTTATTAATTTTACACTTCTTTTGATTGCTATCCACGCGAGGGAAATCTATGATTTGTATCTATATAATTAAATCTATTTTCACGTGTACAAATTAAATTTGTTTTTTTAATCGTTAAAAATTTTTTTTAAAATACCCAAAGAACTTAACATAATACGTGAAAAATTTAATTCTCTAATGGAATTGGTTGTATTTTCTGCATGAATCATCGAGAATTTTCATCTCGACAATTAAATCTATTGCACTCATGTAAGAATGAATGCGTAATCGAGAAATCTAACTAATTATAATGTAACTTCCGGTAGGGATCGAACGTGAGTCCCGCTTTATAGGGTAAATCAGCGTGCGGTAAAATCATGTCGGTTTAAACCGTTTTTCCCCAACACAGGAAGATTCGAGTTCGATCCTTGCCGGAGGGCAGATTTCTTTTTCTTAGTTGTCTCAAACGTGTAGACTGGTGTACGCATTACTCGCTGTTTAATAAATAAATAAACTAAAATGGGGCGTCTTTTTTAAAATAAGATGCATCTACTTGTTTTCAAGTAAGATATAAGTGTGTGCGTAAGTGTGTGTTTGTATATGTGTGTGTGTATTTATCGATTTGTGTGACCCTTTCTCTGAATGTTTAAAAGAAATTTCATAAATATATACTGAAAGCATGTCACTAACTAACTTCTACCTGTCTATACACGCAGATACGTGTTGGAATATAAATATATATATATATATATATATATATATATATATATATATATATATATATATATATATATATATATATATATATATATATATATATACGAAAAGTAAATGTGTTTACCAAAAAAAATTCTACGTGTATTTTTGCCCGTAAACGCAATGTCGTGTGTTTATTTTCACGCAATTAACACAAAATGGCTTCACTACGCCTCGATAAGAGATCAGGGTGTACGGTAGGGGGTGTTTCTTCTAAATTCGGTTAACGAGGACCTCCCGCCAATTAGCTAATAAGACCGCCATTTTTACATCAACAAATTCGAGATAGCAACAACCTTGTATGTGATCCTCAAATGCCGCTTCACTGCAGCCTGAATTTTCTCGCGGTGACATTTCGGGACTTAGCCATTTTATTTGGAAGGCCATATTTGCCGCCAAAATAATGAGGTGGGTGTCGGCCATTTTGAATGAGAGTCGAACCGGGACATCGGTTAGGTGAATTCTGGAAAATTAATGATTTTCTTTTAGACAGAAGTATACAAGAGAGCTCTGAACTGATTAAAATATAGCGGACATATTAGATTAGAATTTAGGATAGCCAAAAAATGCGAGAAAGCAGACGAATAGTTAGGACGTATGTACTTGAAAGTATATATAAAGATGACTAAGAAGATCAATTAATTTTCATTAAATAAAGAAGGAAAACTCAAAGAAATTTCGAACTGAAATAAAATAAAATGCAATAAAAAAGATGGAAGAAAAATTGAAAAACAAAATGTAAGATAGAAAAAAACAGAAAAAAAGTCGTAGAAAATAAGATAAAAGAAATAAAAAATTTACAAACGATAGCAAGTAGAAAAAAGGAATAAAAAAGATAGAAGGAAGGAGGAAAGCGAATAAGCATAAAGAAAAAGAACGAAAAAGAGAAAAAGCAAGCGTTTAAATCGAAAGAAAGAAAAGAAAAGAAAAGAAAAGGGAATTGTTACGCTTAAAAAGAATGAAAGAAGTGGTAAGATATTCGGAAAGAAAGAAAAGGGGGAAAATAGTAATCTTGCGAAACTCATTCTTAAAGAAAGAAAGAAAGAAAGAAAGAAAGAAAGAAAGAGAGGCGCGTTAAGAAAGAAAGAAGGAAAGGAAGAATGAAAAAGAAGCGAGATATTAATAAAGAAAGAACGAAAGAGAAACTAGATAAGAAAGAAAGAAGGAAAGGAAGAATGAAAAAGAAGCGAGATATTAATAAAGAAAGAACGAAAGAGAAACTAGATAAGAAAGAAAGAAGGAAAGGAAGAATGAAATAGAGGCGAGAAATTAAGAAAGAAAGAAAGAAAGAAAGAAACAGAGGTGAGATAAAAAAAGAAGCAAAGGAAAAATTAAATAGAGGCGAGATATTAAGAAAGAAAGAAAGAAAGAAAGAAAGAAAGAAAGAAAGAAAGAGAGGCGGCATAAGAAAGAAAGAGAGGCAAGATAAGAAAGAAAGAAAGAAAGACCCTTATTTGGCAAAACGGAAGAAAAGTAAAAGAAGTAAAAAAAAATATTAATTGTACCTTCTGCGTTTATTTCACATTCATTAATAAGCCTCGTTTTCATAAGACATCTGCCGAGCCCTTAGCAAATACAAAGTAAGACACATTATCAAGGCAAAAAGAACAAAAACAAAGAAAAAGAAATGAATGAGCATACAAAAAATAAAAAGAAATGAAACTATCATAATTTTTAAAGGCTATGTTTCTCCAGGATGCTGACGATTATAACTCTTCACAGTTTCTTTATATTGTTCTGTGAGTGGCCTAGAATGATATTTCGAACGATATTAGCATGATTTCTTGTTGACTTCTTCACAGATATAATTTCCATTCTGTTTAACACGAATAAGACTGGTGACCTCCCAACGATAGAGAGCACGGTCGACTCTAATGGTTGAGAAAAGAGGAGCTCGATTCATAACTTCACAAGGACATTTAGGCGAAAGTGAAATCTGCTGAACTGAATTTGAACTTGGCGCTTGTATTACAATTTCAGCGCTGATGGCCGTTACGTAGCCCTGATATCCGAATGAAAACCAATTCACAAGCAAAATAGACGTAGAGACACCGCTGATAGTTATCTCCCTTCTTACAGGACGAATTCATAACGTCCTACTGAATGCGACGTGAAGGCCTCTGAGTTACGATAGACGTTGGTGATGATAGTCGGTTGCAGATTAGCTCACGACGGAGACAGTAGTTAGAACCAGCGGCGGCTCGGCAAACGAAGGAATGCGATGGATGCTAGACAATAGCAATAAAGGTATCCCCTGGACTGATTGTGTCCCTCCAAAAGACATTACAAATCCTTCTTAACGAGGGTGGGATGAAAAGTTCATAGACTAATTATGATCTATAAAATCTTTCATGTATTAATTAATGTAATTAATTCTTATTAATAACTGCATTGTTTCTTTCCAGGTTAATTGACATCTGACTGTTCTAAGAAAACTCTTCAACCTTTTAGTCAAAAATTCATCGACAGCAAATATGACAGTGCGATATTTGTTTCCAGCCGTGTTTTTCATGTTGGAGAACAGATTATAGTCAAATAGAATCAGGAATATGATCAAACAATTCAAAGCTACTATAAAGCAAAGCAGCCATTAAAACTGGACTTATGTTCCGTTGCACTGTTCTGATGAAAGAACACAACTTGTTTCCCTGTGCGTTTGGTCTTTCGTAATTACCTCAGCATAGTACTCTCCATTGATGGTGTGGCCCTTTTGAAGATAGTCAATAAACACAATGCCTATTGCATCCAAAAAATCCTGAGGCTATCACCATCCCTGCAGATGAAATGACCTTGGCTTTCTTTGGAGCAGGGGAGGAGGGGTGTTTCCACTGCATGGATTGTCTCTGGCTCAAAGCGATGAACCCAACACTCATCTTGGGTTAACAAACGTTTACAAGAAAAACAGCTGGATCTGCCTCAGACAATGTTACATTTTCCCTTGCTGTGATCAACATGTGGGTTCTTGATCAGGTTTCAGAAGACGTGGTACCAAACCTGGACAAACCGTCACCATGCCAAGTTCGCTGTGCAGAATATTCTCAACACACCCACGGGATATCCTGATAAATTTGGCTATTTGTGTTATAGTTTATTCGTCTGTTATCCATCCCCACATCGTGGAAATGATCTCTGAGTTGCCTGGAAGTAGCAATTTCAGGACGTCCGAACATTGGGTCATCTTCAAGACAACTCCCTTTCCCGTTTAAATTCAGCTGCCCACTTTTGCACAGTTGATAAACCTGGAACATCATTACCTAAGATATAACCGTGTCAGTATGAATGTCTTTGGAATCTAGACCCTTTTCTGTAGGCATCTGATAATACCACGATACCAAATTTTGCCATTTTACAGAGAAGTTGCTACCAGTGATAACTGAAGTCTTCTTTGAACGGTCAGACGTTTGTTTATCGGGATAGAAACAATGTAGTAATTAAGAAGAAGAGTTGAAATTAATGCATGTAAAATATCACAGCTCTAGCATCATTCTTTTATAGTCAGCCCATGAACTTTTCAGCCTACACCGTACCTAGAAAGAAACAATGTAGTAATTAAGAAGAAGAGTTGAAATTAATGCATGTAAAATTTCACAGCTCTAGCATCATTCTTTTATAGTCAGCCCATGAACTTTTCAGCCTACTCCGTACCTAGACAGAAACAATGTAGTAATTAAGAAGAAGAGTTGAAATTAATGCATGTAAAATTTCACAGCTCTAGCATCATTCTTTTATAGTCAGCCCATGAACTTTTCAGCCTACACGGTACCTAGACAGAAACAATGTAGTAATTAAGAGAAAGAATTGAAATTAATGCATGTAAAATTTCACAGCTCTAGCATCATTCTTTTATAGTCAGCCTATGAACTTTTCAGCCAACCCCGTACCTAGAAAGAAACAATGTAGTAATTAAGAAGAAGAGTTGAAATTAATGCATGTAAAATTTCACAGCTCTAGCATCATTCTTTTATAGTCAGCCTATGAACTTTTCAGCCTACCCCGTACCTAGAAAGAAACAATGTAGTAATTAACAGAAAGAATTGAAAAATTAATGCATGTAAAATTTCACAGCTCTAGCATCATTCTTTTATAGTCAGCCTATGAACTTTTCAGCCTACCCTGTACCTAAAATTAAGAAACAATGTAGTAATTAACAGAAAGAATTGAAATTAATGCATGTAAAATTTCACAGCTCTAGCATCATTCTTTTTTTATAGTCAACCTATGAACTTTTCAGCCTACCCCGTACCTGAAAAGAAACAATGTAGTAATTAACAGAAAGAATTGAAATTAATGCATGTAAAATTTCACAGCTCTAGCATCATTCTTTTATAGTCAGCCTATGAACTTTTCAGCCTACCCCGTACCTAGAAAGAAACAATGTAGTAATTAAGAAGAAGAGTTGAAATTAATGCATGTAAAATTTCACAGCTCTAGCATCATTCTTTTATAGTCAGCCTATGAACTTTTCAGCCTACCCCGAACCTAGACAGAAACAATGAAGTAATTAAGAGAAAGAATTGAAATTAATGCATGTAAAATTTCACAGCTCTAGCATCATTCTTTTATAGTCAGCCTATGAACTTTTCAGCCTACCCCGCACCTAGAAAGAAACAATGTAGTAATTAACAAAAGAATTGAAATTAATGCATGTAAAATTTCACAGCTCTAGCATCATTCTTTTTATAGTCAGCCTATGAACTTTTCAGCCTACCCCATACCTAGAAAGAAACAATATAGTAATTAAGAGAAAGAATTGAAATTAATGCATGCAAATTTCACAGCTCTAGCATCATTCTTTTATAGTCAGCCTATGAACTTTTCAGCCTACCCTCTACCTGGAAAGAAACAATGTAGTAATTAAGAGAAAGAATTGAAATTAATGCATGTAAAATTTCACAGCTCTAGCATCATTCTTTTTTGATAGTCAGCCTATGAACTTTTCAGCCCACCCTGTACCTAGAAAGAAACAATGTAGTAATTAAGAAAAAGAATTGAAATTAATGCATGTAAAATTTCACAGCTCTAGCATCATTCTTTTATAGTCAGCCTATGAATTTTTCAGCCTATCCCTTACCTAGAAAGAAACAATGTAGTAATTAACAGAAAGAATTGAAATTAATGCATGTAAAATTTCACAGCTCTAGCATCATTCTTTTATAGTCAGCCTATGAACTTTTCAGCCTACCCCGAACCTAGACAGAAACAATGTAGTAATTAACAGAAAGAATTGAAATTAATGCATGTAAAATTTCACAGCTCTAGCATCATTCTTTTATAGTCAGCCTATGAACTTTTCAGCCTACCCCTGTACCCTACAATAGAAAAAACAATGTCATTCTTTTATAGTCAATTAGCCTACCCCGAACCTAGACAGAAAGAATTGAAATTAATGCAAGAATTGAAATTAATGCAAAAATTTCACAGCTCTAGCATCATTCTTTTATAGTCAGCCTATGAACTTTTCAGCCTACCCCGTACCTAGAAAGAAACAATGTAGTAATTAACAGAAAGAATTGAAATTAATGCATGTAAAATTTCACAGCTCTAGCATCATTCTTTTATAGTCAGCCTATGAACTTTTCAGCCTACCCCGTACCTAGAAAGAAACAATGTAGTAATTAACAGAAAGAATTGAAATTAATGCATGTAAAATTTCACAGCTCTAGCATCATTCTTTATAGTCAGCCTATGAACTTTTCAGCCTACCCTGTTCAGTACCTGGAAAGAAACAATGTAGTAATTAACAGAAAGAATTGAAATTAATGCATGTAAAATTCACAGCTCTAGCATCATTCTTTTTTATAGTCAGCCTATGAACTTTTCAGCCTACCCTGTACCTAGAAAGAAACAATGTAGTAATTAACAGAAAGAATTGAAATTAATGCATGTAAAATTTCACAGCTCTAGCATCATTCTTTATAGTCAGCCTATGAACTTTTCAGCCTACCCCGTACCTGAAAGAAACAATGCAGTAATTAAGAAAAGAATTGAAATTAATGCATGTAAAATTTCACAGCTCTAGCATCATTCTTTATAGTCAGCCTATGAACTTTTCAGCCTATCCCTGTACCTAAAAGAAACAATGTAGTAATTAACAAGAAGAATTGAAATTAATGCATGTAAAATTTCACAGCTCTAGCATCATTCTTTTTATAGTCAGCCTATGAACTTTTCAGCCTACCCCGTACCTAGAAAGAAACAATGTAGTAATTAACAGAAAGAATTGAAATTAATGCATGTAAAATTTCACAGCTCTAGCATCATTCTTTTATAGTCAGCCTATGAACTTTTCAGCCTACCCCGTACCTAAAAAGAAACAATGTAGTAATTAAGAAGAAGAGTTGAAATTAATGCATGTAAAATTTGACAGCTCTAGCATCATTCTTTTATAGTCAGCCTATGAACTTTTCATATATGCCAACTCTACCCCGTACCTAGAAAAAGAAACAATG